TAATATCACTAGTTGTATCAGTACATCTGTAACAACTTGATTCATTGCCATCTGGTGGAGGCAAACAAAACTGACGAGTAGAACCAGATGAGGTATTATCCACTGTACAGGATAAACTAGACTGGATATTTATAATATCAGGAGAGACTCCATTAATCCTGAGAGTACATGATGTCAGTAAAAAGAGAAGAAAGTAGAGTAATGCTGTAAGATGCTCCATTTTAGAGCACGCAGCGCCGCATAACCATAGACATTAGAGTATATGGCATCATAGATATATCTATGATGGCATAACCACAACCGGCTGAGCCACACCCCTAATACGAGATACGCCCTTTTGAGTGGGCGTAGAAGTGAACGCAGCAACCAACAATGGCAAGCTCTTCTTCCTCTGCTCCTTTTATAAACGTTTGTGATAAAGAACTAAGTGAGTTTGTGGGTATATTTGACATTTAATAAAGTGTATTTCAGGTATTGATGAGTATCACTCAGTGTATGATAAAGTGAAGCCTATTTCTGCTAGTTGGAAGTCATTCGCCATTTCATTACGTTTGAGAATAACTGACATTAATATCATAGAAGCTAGCTCTCATGGAAATCCAATTTCTTGCCTGCAGAAAGTTTTAGAGCACTGGCTAATGAAAGATTATGATTATGAGCGTTATGGCTGGCCCTGCTGGAGAATGGTGTGTGTAGCTGTTAAAGAAGGAGGAGGAAATTCAGCATTAGCTGATGAAATAGCTCGTGAACATCCTCTACCAGCTATGCCGCCTGCAGGATCAACTAGTTCAAAAGGTACATATATTAGTTGAGTGTTGTCATCAATAGTATCACTGTCAGTGTATCAGTATCCATGATAATACATTATGTGTTAGTGTAGGTTGGGTTGGGTAGCCTAATTATCTCCTTTTTTGGTATTAAACTAATTGCTTGCATAGTTAAAGTCACACTACTGATATAGTACATGAATATCATTATCAAGCAATGAATATTATTATGTACAAATTCCAGTCTCAGTAGTGAATGTCATTATTAAATTTTCTGACCCTTTGCTTTTAATTATTGTCACCAAAAGAAGCTTGTGCTTGATTGGGCATTTTCTAATAGCAATTTAATTGATATCATTGTATAGCATGCAAATTTGATTTGTAAATGCTTTTTTCACACAAAAGTTAATTTCCTAGCATTGCACTACCTATGCATGTAGTCTTGTGTAGCTAAACTCCTCCCATTTTTGATATCTGGCTATGCGAGTGTTTTGGATTACCGTACAGCTGAAATAATTGGCGAGGAATTAATATTGGCGGATTGGTGGTAGGCAAAAAAATTGCCAAAATAAATAAGTCTATTAATAAAATTAATTAATCTATTTTGGGCGTGGTTGTTCATCATGTCATTTTGTCTTCACATACAAGAAATCAAACAAAGATGCTGCATTATTTCAAAACTTCGCCTATTGTTTGGGTCCAAAAGGATTTAGAAATGTGATGCCCTTGAATACAACTCTTAATCGTTACTTCACATGCTTCATCATCCTCGAGTGAGTCCTCGAGCTCTTTGTCGGCCATGTTTAGCTCTCTTTTAATTAATTTAAAGGCGTGGCGTAACAAATTTTCTGATTTTAATAAAAGATAATTTTCAAGTCATAATTGCCAAATTAAAATACCGCCAATCAGATTTTCTTGACAAATCGCCAAATAAAACTCTCGCCAATATTTCTGGCTGTACGGTACATGCACAGTTTATTGATAACAATGCTATCAATATTACTTTTTTTCATTCAATCAAATTTTGCTATTTTATTATGATCTACTTTTTTTAGAAAAAAGTGCCACTCATGAAACAGATGAATTAGCTATGTCACCAACAAAATCCACTAGCACTGACAAAGAAAAAGGTAATTTATCATTATGATAGAAAAATAGACCAAAATTAAACAATTTTTGTTATACCCTCCCATGGCTATTTTCTTTATGTCACAACATATTATTCTTATTATACTTATTTTTTAGGCACTGGTGGCCTTTCTGGTGAAAATTTCCTCTCAGCAAACAAATTGTATGATCTACAAGAGGAATTTGATGAGGCGATTCGACTAACACAAAAATCCTTTAAATCAACTGATCTACCTGAAATCACTGAATATCTCAATAGACACGCAATGTCATTACTTGGTCCTAACAAAAAACAACAAACAACACCTCAAGAAATTGCTCAAGCAGTTAAAGAAGAGTTTGAGCATATTAAAACAATATCAGATCTATTTACCATATTACAGCACAAATACATGTCATGGTTCAACTATAAACTAATGATAAAACTTGTTACAATAATTCTACCTAAAAATCGTTCGTTAAAAAGAGTTTGGTCGTCATATGAAGAGAAGTTAAAGGATTATTTCATAAACAGTGGTGGACTATTGAAAGATGCTGATGCTGTACAGTTCGGTGTAAAAGGTGTTCCTCCTGGTACACGAGTAATGATTGCTAAAGTTGACAGAGATGACTACACACTGGATGACATATTCTTCTTTCGTAGAGCAATACCAAAAGGTTTGGATATTCCTGAATATGATCTTCACTTCAGATCCGTTCACCTGAGTTCTCTCTGTTTGGGTTACCTCATTCCTGAGTATCTTTATTCTTTATTATTTCCTCTAACTACAAAGCTACAGCAACAGTTAGCTAGTATTGGTATCACTGAACTAACATGTGGTGAAGATAAATATGATCTAAGAGAGGTTTGTGATTATAAATACAAATTTTAATATTATTTTTAATTTTCCAGTTCTCAATAGAAGAGGTTAAGCACTCATCCACTGATATTGGTAAGTACATGAACTGACCTTTAGTCAATCCCTCCATACATAACTTGTATTACTAATAATATTCTTCATTTATAGATATATGTGATCCATTATGGTATGAGAATACCAGTACACCATTACATGAAGCAGCTTGGAGGGGATTAAAAGATGAAGTACCATTGCTTCTTGACAAGTTTGGTGACAACACATATCATCGTGGTCTTCATGGATGGACTCCATTACACTCTACATCATATGGTGGACACATTGAGATCCTTCAACTACTCATCCATCAATATGGTATTGATCCTAATGAAGGTGATGATAATAGTGTAGCTAGTATACATATGGCATCTTATAAAGGCCACTTATCTATAGTACAATATCTAGTAGACACGTGTGACGTTCCTCCTGATCAACCAGACAATAGCAATAACACTGCATTACTGTACTCAGCAATGGGGGGCCATTCTGACCTAGTGGAATTCTTTATTGAGAGAAATTGTAATACTTCTCAGATTAATTGTATGAGTGCTTCTTTATCATTGTTAGCTTGTCAAAGTGGAGAGTTAGCATTAGTCCACAAGCTTGAATCATTAAACCTCTTCTTACCAGATTCCTCTGATTTTTTGGGATTAAGCATATTGCATTACTCTTCTATGAGTAATAATGTTGAGCTTTTAAAGTATCTTTTAAATCGATATCAATTATCCATTAATGTAAAGGATCAATATGCAAGTAGGACTCCACTTCATATTGCTTCATGGTTTGCTTCATCATCAGTTGTTGAGTATATTGTTAGTATTCAAGGTAATGAAGCATTATTAGTTAATGATAATGATGGTAGGTCATGTTTACATTATTCATGTGATGCAGGTATACATATTCCAGCTGGCATTGTGTATAGTAAGCTTTTTGCACAAAGTGATGCATCAGTTATTGAGATTATTAATAGAACTAGAATTAAAACAAATAATGATTTTATCAAACGAAATGAAAGAGTTAAAATGTTTTCTTCACTTCTCAAGAAAGCTAGCACTTGCCCTAACTTTGACATCAATGCCACTACAAATGATGGTTGGTCATTACTTCATTTAGCATCATGGAGTGGCAGTACATTACTAGTGAAAGCATTAGAAGAATATAATATCAATTGTACATTAGATAATGATGGATTATCTCCAGTACATAATGCTGCCAGGTCAGGTTCTACTAGTGTATTAAGTTATATCATATCTCAGTATAATATCAATGCTAATGATACTGATACTTATGGTCGTACACCATTAGTCTACTCCTGCTGGTCAGGTAGTATTAATTCTGTTAAATATCTTATTAATAATCATAACAGTGATCCTAATATCACTGATAATGATGGTATGACATGTCTTCATCATTCTTGTTGTAATGGTCATATTGATATCACTCAATATCTCATTGAGGTACAGCATTGTAATATTAATAAAAAAGATAATGAAGGACGCACATTAGTACATCATGCTGCATGGAGTGGTAACTTTGATTTAGTTCAATATCTTATTACTGAACAAGGTTTGTCTCCTACTGCAGTTAATAATAAAAATGGCCTCACTGCTTTACATTATGCCTCAATGTCTCTTAACTTATCTCTTGTTAAAGAATTAATAACTACCTATCAGTTAGATCCTCATCAAGCTGACAGTAATGGTAAGCTACCTATTCATTATGCTGCTCAATCTGGTGATATTTTACTACTGGAATTATACATGAAGGATTACAAGTGTAGTCTGAGCCTAACAGATAAGGATGGTAACAATGTTAGTCATTTTTCCTCCATGCTTGGTCACATTCGCTTTATTAAACATCTGGTAGAGAATCATCAGTTAGATCTGTGTGCTGTGAATGATGAGGGAATGGCTCCTATTCACTTAGCATGTAGTAATGGAAGATTGAACTTGATCCAGTACATTATAGAACACAAACCATCATCACTTGAACTACCTCACAGTAAATATGGTCATACTCCATTCCTTATTGCAGTGTACTTCAATAAGTTAGAAGTTATTAAATATCTTATTAGTAAGAAGTGTAATCTATCAGCTACTGATGATGAAGGGTCTGGAGCAGTTCACATATCAGTAGAGAGGGGTCACTTGAATGTATTGAAGTATCTCATTGATAATAATTATTGTAATCCTAATGCAACCAATCATCAAGACCGTACACCACTTCATTTAGCAGTACTAGCTGATCAATTTGAAACAATCAAATATTTAATGTGTGAGAGCATTAGTTCTATTAGTATGGTTTGGTTACGTGAGATCAAGTATTCATTAGATGGACCACACAATATCAACATACCAGATGGTTTACCAGTTGATGTTAATACAAAAGATAAAGATGGCATCACTTGCTTACACTTAATAGCAGAAAAAGGAAATATTAAAATGTATGAATATCTGAAGTATCACTACAAGTCAATTCCAAGAGATAATTTTGGACGTTCTCCTCTTCACTACTCCTGCCTCTCCAACAAGTATGATATGGCAATGTATCTTGTTAAAAGTTGTCACTATGATCCTGATGATACTGATAACAATGGCTATAATTCAGTTCATGCAGCATGTCAAGTTGGCAATTTTGAACTGGCTCTATATTTCCTCACAGAGCATGGTTGTAACCCATGGGCTGAGACTAATGATGAACAAACTCTTCTTTACTTTGCAATCAAGAGCTCTAATTCTGAACTTATTCAGCTTCTAAAGCAAGCTATTGGATTAAGACCTCGTTGGCATGAAACTGAAGCAGACGAGCCCATCAGTTCTGAATTTAGGTCAAATCCAGAAAACATTTATCAAAATATAACCTCAGACAATCGCAAGAGGAAAGCTAAGAATAGAAATAAGTGCTTGCTATCTTAAATGGCACTTGAAGCAAAGCCATCACCAATTTCCAAACTTACATCATACCATTGTACCATTACACCATCATACTACTTTATTGCCATCATATCACCATTGTACAACCTTAAAACTTCGCATTATCACCGTACTACCATTGTACCACCATATTACCATCATAACTGTAACCACCTCACCAGTTATCACCATTACACCATAAACCCACATGTACACACCCCAATGGTTACCAATATCACCAATCCTTCTTCTTTAATATATTCTCCATTAACACGTATCACTGGAGCTACTCTTTGCTTTACTTATTCTTATAAAATTGTTTTATTCATAGTACTTGTGTACACATGCATCTTTAATTTGTACTTAGTCATCATTATTATAAATAAATTGTACATGCATGCACAGCTTCCATTATTATACTGCAAAAGACGTATGATGGTAAAAATTGATTTTCATTTGATATTTTATGATTTTTATATTATAATAATAATTTTATAATTCAATAATAATACTTCAAATTAAATATATCTACAGATTTTTTCCAGTTCTCCAGGTACACCTCCAGACAGTGTCCATAGTTCATCTTCCATCAGTTTATTTAATTCTACAGTAACACAACACAATAAACAATAATAATAATATACTCCTCAGTCTTATATCTATAACCACATTTAGGCCACTCCAATTAAATTCGTAGTTTCTCCTAACCCACCCGCTCGCCTGCATGAATATTCTAATTATTCGATTAAAATATTAAAATAGTAATAATGTAAACACGTGTCTTTCAAGGTGTTTTTTCATTCTTTTTTGAAGAGTAACTGGGCTCTTCACCGCTCTCTAGTTCATTGATAAACAAGGAATCAGGTATAGTTGCTACTTTTTCGAAACTTTATTATTTTAATCAAAATTTAACTTACCGCCCGCCTGCATAAGTGCCGCATGTGTAAGGAGAAACTATGAATTTAATTGGAGTGGCCTAATAAAATGGCTTGTAGCATAAAAGTGGCTTAATGCACACACAATAAATAAATAAATTAATAAACTCACCTTTATTCATCCAGTTCTCTTTATTAAGATTATTAATATAAGTATTAAATTCACCAGCAGAAAATGGCATCACTTTAACCGGATCAAAACTCTCCAATAAATATCTACCCTAAAACACAAAGTGGGTGGAGCAAGCCACACCCATTGTTTACAGTATTGCTTGTGTTTCCAATACCTTCCTCCCTGAGACCATGCCAGTATATCTAGTACCTTTAGTCCTCATGTTCTTCAGTAACCTCCTGGACACTGATCCAACCACAACACCTTTAAACTATAATAAAATTATTATTATTATTATTATTATTATTATTATTATTATTATTATTATTATTATTATTATTATTATTATTACTTTATTTGGTTGTAAGAATTCTCTTAAAGTCTTTACTATACACAAATGCTCTGGCTCAACCTGTCAAGAGAGAAGGAGAGAGAGTGAGAGTTAATTAATATTCATTATACCTCATCATTAAATACAGACCTGTTTAAAAGAGGTTGGACAATAGCAGCCATTAATATCATCAACAGCTAGTAATACTGACTGTCTATAGGGTACCAGTATAGGAGAGGTGGTACATAATGTATTGAGGTACTTGTTCAATACTGATATCTCATTGAATATTGTATGGAATACATTATGGGATACCTTTGGTTTAGCAATACCCTAATAAACAATTAGTGGAGAGGAAAGAGGGAGGGGGTGTGGTTGATAGTAGTTCATTATATTATTATTAATATATACCAGTTTAATAATGTCAAGGAGACTCTCACCAGCTTTAACAGTCTCCTTATTGTTCCAGGTATAATCTTGAGACAATTTTAACTAAATATAAGAAGAAAATTACTTTTATTAGATTGTGTATTTACTTATGCTGGGTAGAAATTTTGAGCTGATTATAATCAAAAATTGGACAAAAGTCTCTGTACTATAGTACAGCAAATTTGGCCAAATTTTATGAAAAATGTAAAGGAGAGAATTCTCCATTTTTATTCCATTTCCTAATATATATACATGTTCTTATGTCGTGTAGCAAGTTTGAACTGATTCCGATCAAATTCGGATTTTTTATGAATTTTTAAAGTTGCTCCAAAATCGGACAAAAATCCCTGTACTATAGTACAGGGAATTTGGCCAAATTTCGTCAAAAATGACAAGGAGAGAATTCTCCATTTTTATTACATTTCCTGATATATATACATGTTCTTATGTTGTGTAGCAAGTTTGAGCTGATTCCGATCAAATTTGGATTTTTTATGAATTTTTAAAGTTGCTCCAAAATCGGACAAAAATCCCTGTACTATAGTACAGATTGCTTGATCAATAATGGCCAGTAGTGAAGTGGCTCCTCCCAGTACACTATTAAAGGGATACTGGCGCAGTTTACGGAAGAGCTAGTACACGGAAGGTTTATAAACAAAAAAATGGCTGCGGGTTTATATCTTGTAATATGTGACCATAATTGACAAAAGGGCCCTTATGGCGGATTTTAAAATTGATCGTTATAATGGAAAATATCAACCTGTGAGTGCTTTGTTAGACAATCATTGTTTCTAAAAGTTTCATGGTAACTTTTTGTATCCTGTGGAGTAATTTTATGATAAATGGGGCTCAGGAAGTTGGATTTCTTAGGCTAGAAAGACAAATTTCACTACCCGCCATAAGGGCCCTTTTGTCAATTATGGTCACATATAGCAACAGTTTTTGCTCTGATTCTTGCTTCTGGAGCTCTGATACTTCAACAAATGATGCCTTATGTTTATCTCCACCAAACTCAGAGGTAAGCACTTAACTGAATTTTTCTTCATCAAGTTTGCCGTCCATAAAAGGCTAGTGTCTTTTTGACGGGTGAGTTTGACCGTGTAGCTGTGTTTGCTGGAGTCCATATCTTTCTGAGCTCTTCTCTGGCCTTTACCTGACATCTTACCTCAGCAGGACCTTCTCTCTGTTCTTCTGCATGTCAATATAAACGCTCAAAGAGACTTCTGCACAAGTTCTGCCATTTTTCTTTGACGAAATATGATTTTTGGTCCCCAAAAATCATATTTCGTCATCAATTTTACGAAAAGTGCGCGGATATCCGTACACGGCGACAGTATCCCTTTAATACTATTATTAATATATTATTTACTTCAGATATATGTTGATGATTCATTTCTTTAAACTGAGATAGCCAGTCCACTGTATCATCAGGTAAGTCATACAGTCCATCAGTTTGTAGTAATGGCTTTAACTCACGACTGGAATGAGTCCACTTAAATACTAGAAATAATAATAATAACAACAACAACAATAATAATAATAATAATAATAATAATAATTAATCTTACCACTGGGTACATGCAGTACTATCCAGTCATTGGCCAGACAATAATGAATTATTTGTAATAAACAAACACTTTTACCACAATCATCAGGACCATCTATTAATAATAATAATAATAATAATAATAATAATAATAATAATAATAAAATAGATTCAAACTCACAGAAGAGAAACCTCTTTCCACTTTTGTTCTTTAAATGATAGAGTACGTACCAGGACGGGTCTCTTAGCAACCATGAGACCTTACCAACAGCTTCCACCTGGAGCCATTAATAATAACAATTAATTAATTAATTAATAATTAATACATACTTTTTTCTTGAGTGTTGTTGGTAGGTGATTGTGTAGTGAATATTTTTTAAGATCAGAGTATCCGACACTGTATATTGTACCCAACTGATCTACACTAATATCAAATTTCTAAAGATAAAATTAATAAATATTGAATAATAGTAAAATCCTAATAAAATCATTTTACTGGCGTAGTAGTCTCTACTACTGGTTCAGTTGCTGTACAGTAGTTGGTTGCTGTCATTGGTTGGTTTGAAGGTCCTGAATAATTTATTAATGGAGAGAAGATTCGGTGGATTTTTCTACACTAAGAATATAAGAAATAAAGAAGAAAATATAGACTTTCTTACTTGCATAATGGCCGCCATTTTATTTCTAATTAATATTCATTGGTTATAATTCATTATGATGAATCTAATTATCTATTCATTGATGGGTGGGTCTCTTCCATATTTGGTTATCGGGTGGGGCTGGAATCCTTGCAGATTTTTCACGCGCAGGCTTTACCGGCTAAAGTTCTCAAGTTACAGTCACACTAGCTGTAGCTTAGAGCTTGTATTTAAATCTAATCGTCCTCAGTGATCCAGTGTCTGCGCAAAAGAATAAAGAAGGATAAAAATGGCTGAAACTAAAATGGAGAAACCTAGAATAGCAGCCATGGAAAGAGGTACTTGGCGCTTCAGTTACATGATGTTAATTTACTTCACCTTTAGGTCCTGGCCCTGGAAGATACACCTTACCTAACTTGACAGGATATCAAGCACACGATGTATCTAGGAAACTACACCCCGCATACTCTTTTGGATTGAGACTTGGAACATCATGTCAGTAAAAGTTTTTTTTTAGCAAAAATTAATCAATCCCCCCTCTCTCTTTCTCTCTATTAGTCATTAAGAAGCAGATAGGGCCTGGTCCTGCCTATCTCATTGACCCAATGATGACAAGGTATGGCAGGGACGGGACTGCCCAGTACTCACTCCACAGTCGGCACAAAGAGCTGGAGCCGTTCAAGACGCCAGGACCAGGGGCTCACTGTCCTGAGAAATTTGCTGATCCGTCACGCCATAGACCACCTGCCTACTCAATGGGAGGAAGAACAAGATACAGGAAGAGTATGTACCATGATGTACTGTGTATAGTGACTTATGCTTACTGATCTGCATGCAATATCTTCATGAACATAAATTAATTTTTATATTATTTTTCTTTTTGTATAGGAGATGCTAATCCTTCCCCAGCCTCCTACACTCTTCCCTCAATGCTTGGTGATAAAGTACCCAATCGTACATCCTCTGCTTGCTACTCAATGGCCCCACGGTCTAAACTTGGAGGCTTTGATACGGATTATGCTAAAACCCCAGGTCCAGCTAGATACAACACTACCAGTGCTGAGATCACGCAAAGGAAAGCTCCTAATTACTCAATGCAGAGCAGAAACTACATGCCAACTGGTAAATAAAGATAACACAATCATTAATAATGTGTTTTTATGCTATTGAATAGATGCTACAAGAATACCAGGCCCAGGAGCTCACTGTCCTGAGAGGGTGACACTCAATAGAAGAGCTGCTCCAGCATATTCATTGGGAGTGAAGCACTCTGAGTATATATGTCCATTGGTCATTGATACTCCTGATGACTAGCAGAAACAAACAATACAGACTTTTGTACATACCATGCAGCATTATGCATTATCCCCCATTTTAATACAGATTATATTTTGATTTTTGCTATGATAGTTCGTATTACACAGCTATAGAGTAGTTTCTTATTATTATTATTTTAGTTTTTTATAACAATTATTTAAGTTTTTGACGGATACACTGGAGCTGGTGGTTTGAATGAGGGAGGAGGAGGAAGGAAATGTGTTTGGTTTGTTGTTGCAAATGAAACTTCAGTTTTAGGCAGCTTCCAATGACTCTTCTTAAGCTATAAAAAATAATTAAAATTTTGTCATCATTCATTATTTTGAGCTCACATGTCTTTTATTAAGAGAACGTTGCGCCACTTTCTTGACATCATAAGAGTCCTTCACTGTTGATACTAATGGTTTGTCTGTAAATTAAAGATAAAATACTCTTCAATATCATGAGTTCCCATGCTATTATAATACCTGGTTTGTATTGGAATGCAATGTTGTCTTTAGTAGGAGCACGTGCTCTGTACAATTCTCCTTTATCTCCTTTGTAAGACTCAAGGGACGTCGTGAGAGGAAAACCAAAGACAGACGAGGAACCCAAATGAACATTTGAGTGAGTCCTCAGACGAGACTTGTTTTCATAAGTTGGGAAACTGTTTGGTGGAGGCTGAAAAGGAATAATTATACATTATTGAAGATTAAAAGTTACTTTTGAGAAGACGCTTGAGGTTAGGAATGTCATTCTTTCTTTGACTCTTTCAGGACAAAGATCACCCGAAGGAAGAGAACTGAAGTTACGCTCGTATTGAACAGGAGTCTGTCTCTCTGAAAATAAATAACAAAAATAATAACAATAATAAGAACAACAACTATTAAAATTTTGATAATGCTTTCATACCTGCACTGCTGTTGTAAATAGGATACTCATTAACCTTCTCATGGTATGTCTTTCCTTTATTATCTTTCATCATCTTTATTGATGATTTGTATGTTTTATCGTGAGCTACTCTTTTATCATATCCTTTACTTGAAGACCCCTCCCCTCCCTCTTCACCATCATGAGGTACTTGCACACAGTATGACTTCATTTGCTCACTAGTCATATTCAACTCTTTATTTCTATCACCTAAAATTAAATTAAATTATTCAATAATAATTTATTTACTGTTATTTTACCAAATGGTATGCTTGTTACTCCATTTTTCTCATTCAGTGTCAGACGAGACAATTGACCTCGCTCCGGTCGACCGGTGTACTGGTAAGTGTCCTCCATTGTTGTAATAAACTCGCTGTCCTTATGAGCTTCAATACCTCCTAAATAAAAGATATATAGTGTATTATTTCATTTGGTTATCATACTTTTAACGTTGTCTTTGTTAAGTTTAGCTCCAATTTCTTTGTTGATTTCTCTCTCCTCTTCAGTTATTGGATGATGTACATACGACTCCAAATATTGAGTTCCCTCTTCATTAGTTTGAGAATTATTAGGAGGAGAGAGAGGGAGAGGAGGAGGAGAAGGAGGACGAACAGTTTTAGTACCAATGATGCAGGAAGTTGGATGATACCTCATTCTGTTATTATTATTGCTATTATTATCATTATTATTAGGAGAAGGATCATTATTTTGCTGATGCTCAATTGAAAACATGATCCTGTTAGTTGTCATGAACTCATTACTTCTCAAATTTGAAGGAAACTTCAAATGACTTCCAAAGACTGAGAGATGGGCTGGAGGAGTATGAGAAGAACAACCTTTGGAATATGAGTCAGGCCCAAGGTCCTTATAACACTCTTTAGTGGTTGATCTGTACGGCTCTTGGGGCATATTGATCCTCTCAGTTATAGTGAGGCCAGAAGGAGGAAGAGTGGAGGGTTTAGTTGGAGATACTGATTGTTTTTGAGGAGTAGGATCCATGAATGCTCTGCCTGTGGTGGTTAATTCAGAAGGGAGGATAGCTCTCTTCTGTAGGTGGTATGGGAAATAGAGCGAGGCTTTGCTCTGCATCATCATCTTGAGCTGAGAAGAAAAGAAGACCCTCTGGCTTTTGAAACTAGCACTATCCAAGGACGCTTGCTGGAAACCGCTTCAACCCGGGAAAAGTTACTACGCATGCGTCATATCAACGCCCACGGCTTGTTTGCACCTTGAGCTACCACCCACGCGAAGCCTCGTGTTTCCTTGAGATCAAAATGGAAGGACTTACATTTCTTCTTCAAACCTTTGTCTCCACTCTAGCCAGCATGATGGTGGGGTTCCTGTGGCACTCTGAGCTCCTCTTCGGTAGAACCTGGTGGAGGAACACCTTCCCAGGTATCAGATTCGGTGATACAAAGTTATTCAAAGAAGCAGGGAACTTTCCACTCTACATGACAATGATAGTAACAATAATACAGAATATAGTACTAACATATGTCATTAATACACTCTATCCCTTACTGGCCCAGTCTACAGGGGAGGGTGTATTCTTTCCAGCTGCCTGTAGTGTTATTATCTCCATCATTCTTTCCTGTGTTATATTCCCTCATTTCGTCTACAGTCGGAAACCTTTTGTACTCTATCTGATTGCAGCTGGACACAATGTATTCCAGACCACAGCTGCTATTTTTGTAATCTATTACCTCATAGCAACTGGCAAAGACTAACAAACTGTTGACTACCACCATTATATAACCACAACGAACAATGGTTTATTTAATCACGGGCTCATGTTATCGATTAATCATTTTGTTGCATTTTTTGATGATTTTGATAAAAAACTAGCTGATCACATCCATCCATCATATAATATACTAATAATAATCAATATAGATCCAAACATAATAAACTATATATTATTCATATAAACTATTATACAGTAATAATCCCATCTACACAGTATACCCTTGAACTAATAGAAGGACTCAATAATGTCACTGTATTTAATGGTGATGAATCTTCTCTTTAGCTTCATGGTGTGAGCTGAGGGAGAAAGAGAGAGAGAGTATATTAAATTGTAATCATTTTTTGTTGATAATGATGTACTTAGTTCTCCAGACTGAATTGAGAAGTCACGATCCAAAATTGACCACTTGACAATCTGAAAAATAAAAGGAAAAAGAATATATGTACATGTACATGTACATATATTTCATTAATCTGATACTACTACTCCCTCCCTCTTACCTTATGCTTCTTACAAGCAGCTCCTCTATTAACTCTATCAATTCCGTTTTGTATCATCTTGAGTACTCTGTGGTCGCTGGGTTCATCCAGTATATCCCTCACAGTCTTTGACTGGCTGCCACAAGACTGGCATATAGCCAGGGCAGTGGGGTTGAGCCGATCAGTAGCATAGCCAGTCACATCATCAAACTCAACCTACAGAACATTATCAGTATTGCTGCATTAGAGTGGTGTACTTTTACAGCTGGTAATTTTAGAGGGGAAATTTTCAAAAATTTGGCATTTGAACAGCTAAATATCTTAACAATATAATATGCCTATGCTAAAACCCTCCAGTCATCAAAAATTTAGCAAAACCCCACTCCCAAATTACCAGCTGTACACTGTACATGTATTATAATTAGTACTTTTAGTGTGATGAGACAGGATATGTAGCTCTTCTGGTCCCCCACTATCACTGCATTACTGACTATTGGCAGCTGCTCCTTCAGTGCAGACTCAATTGGAACTGGGGCAATGTTCTCACCAGTTGCTAACACCAGCAACTCTAAATATAAAAAAATAAATAAATAAATAATGATATTAATTACCTTTAGCTCTGCCAGTAATGTAAAGAAATCCTTCCTATAAAATAAGAACATGTATTAATGTGATGTGGAGAAACTACTTTTTACTATAGTACAGAGACTTTGGCCTGATTTTTGAGCAACTTTAAAAATTCGTAATAAAATTAACTTTGATTGGAATCAGTTCAAACTTTCTACACAGCATAAGTACATGTATATGCATCAGAAAATGTAATAAAAATGAAGAATTCTCTTCTAGTCATTTTTGGCAAAATTTGGCTAAAATCCCTGTACTATAGTATAGGAACTTTGAACTGATTTTTGAGTAGATACGATTAGTAATTATACAAAAGCAGTTGATGCCAGTCTCTTACATGATTAATGTATCCAATGTCTCCGGACTTCAACCAGCCGTCCTCTGTCAGTGTGTCACTGGTCGCCTTTGGCTCTCCAATGTAACCCATGAACAAATGACGCCCTTGAATTAGCACCTGATGATCACATGACACAACAAACAAACAAATAAAATAAATACATAAATAAATTAATACATGAATAAATATATAAATAATAAATAAATTAAATAAATATTATTCTTACTTCTCCATTTCCAGCATCATCAGGATTATTAATACGTAGCCGGACCCCGTCCAAGCTCCGCCCACTAGATTGGAACCTGATATCATCCTGAGTGGTGACAGTGGTTGGGCCCGTGGTCTCACTCATCCCGTATAACTCATGAAGAGGGATATTGACACTCATGAAGTAGGAGAGGGTATCTTGGGAGATTGGAGCTGATCCAGTCATAGGGAAATGACACTGGTCCAGACCCAGCCCTCTACGAACCTTTTTGAAAAATATTAGATTCGCAAGGGACCAGCCAAAAGGTGTACCGGAACCCCTGAGGGGGCAACAAGAAATTAAAATTAAATTGTTAATATTCTTTTACCCGAGTTGTTTTTGGAGGTTCCCCTTAAGCCCCACCCCTTTGGCCCATTGTGATATCTTGGCCTTCAGTCCGGTTGTGTTCCTAGCCACCAGCTGCATACTCTCCGATATCTTCTCCCAAACCCTTTCAAAATACATGTACATGTATTGGTTACCATGAAAACACGACCCACCTGGGTACTCCGAGAAATATCGTTGGATGAACTTCACGCAAAGTTTGGAGGAGAGAACCCTAAAATTATAATGATGACCCAATAAAAATAACAAGGTAACGTAATAAAATTTTAACAGGTCACCCAATAAATTTTCTCTCTCCATTACCTTGAGTGCGTCAGGTTGTGCAAACCAGACTGAGGCACCAATGGCCAGAGGGAAGTAGATATCGAGGAGCTGAGTAGCAACATGACTGAGAGGAAGGTAACTGATGACCCTTTCCTCTCCTCTCTTGGCTTTAGTCTCTTTGAGTATCCTGGAGCACATCCAGGTGATCTGGTGATGGAGGATAGGAACATAATAATAGATAATAATTGACATGTACATTAATATCTATACATTAATATTTATACATTATACATGTAATATCTGATAGTGGCCGGAGCATTAATAATCAATAGTCAAACATACAATAGCAATCATTAAACATAAAACAGACACGTACATGTACGTGTAGACTCACATTATCATGAGAGAGCATCACTCCTTTAGCACAACCAGTGGTACCAGACTATTCAATGAAAATAAGAATTATATCTAAAATAATTAATCAATCAATATTATTATCTTACAGTATAAATCAATGAGGCACATTTCTCAGGTGCTAATAGTCCAAACCTTCTCTCAACTCCTATCCTTTCTTCTCCGGCTGCCATCTTCTTTAGGTCTTTCCACTAGTGGGCGGGTCAGTGGGTGTGGTCATGAGCTAGCTTACCTCGTACATTCCTTCCTCTTTTGGTGAGCAAATCTTACCATAGTAGACTATAGCCTTTAGGTGGGTCAACCTGGGGCGTATCTAAATAAATAAATAAAATAGATATTAAAAGAATGGACCAAAGTATTATAAAACATTATTGAAAACATTAATAATGAACTACTACATGACATGTATACATGTACAACTACATTAAACAGTTCCAGCTGTTACTTGTAGTATTTTTTGCAAGTGAGCGTCATTCTCCAGTACAATGATATTAGCCTTGCAGCTGTCAGCTATGAAGCAACACGCCTCAGGAGTATTGGTTAGGTATAATCCAACTGGTAACCCACTGGAGAGAGAGAGAGGGAGAGGGGGGAGAGAGAGAGAGAGGGAGAGAGAGAAGAGAGAGAGAGAGGGAGAGAGAGAGTGTGTGTGTGTGTGTGTGTGTGTGAAAGAGGGACAATATTACCAAACATTCATTTACAGTGTATTACATTAACTGACACTAAAACAAGTGTACAAACGAAATAATCATTATTCATAATAAAAGAGAACATGAGACTCTATTGTGTGAATGAATAGTGTACACTCATTGAATCAGACCAACCACACCAGCTATAATTAAACCCAACACTGTACCTCATTGTAATAACACACACACACACACACTAGCTTACCCTGACATGATAGTAGCCATGTTAGCAATGTGCCACTCTGGAGAGTTGGAACCTAAGATACAGACACCATGATAAGGTTCAAGACCAAGCTAGAGTAGAGGAAGGAAGTAATAAAAGAATTAAATTTAAAATAATCCTTTCTCCGTTACTTTAATAAATGCTTTAGCAATGGTAAGACTCATCTCATAGTATTGGGTGTAGTTAATCTCCTTCCATTGTCCTGCTCTCTTGTAAGCTAAGGCAACGCTCCCTCCATTCTCAGTGACTGTACGATGGAACATGTCTATTATAGTGATGGGCTTCTCAGCAGCTGCTCCTTCAGTACCTAGCTGTATGGTAACACCCACACTCGGGTCACATGACCAAAAGGTACTACTGACAGCAGGGACATCTGATTGACTGGAGGGAGAGAGAGAGAGAGGATAATGGTCAATCTTAATTGCTAATTTACAAAATAACTACCGTTAATTTCTAACAATTAATTTAATTAAAGATAACAACATTTTCATTACTTTTTCTGCCTGACGTTTGTCTCGTCAAAGATCAGTCCATCAGTATCAAGAGATAATGATCCAAATATATCAGCAACATTACCCGCCTCTGACCCCAGGTCTAATGAAAGACCCTCTCTTGAATGCAGCAGTTTGAATTCCTCTGAAGTAAGGCTGGGTCCTGAGCTACCTGAAGATGAGACTGAGAGTGTCCTTAGCTGAGGTGGAGTAGAGACAGCGCTGCTGCTCTCTCCGTTAGGATTAACAGGAGAAGGAAAAGATGGCGAGTTAAGGTCTGGCTCTTTCCTCCCGCCATTGGAGGAGTGTAGGTCAAGGGAGAGCTGAGAGGCTACAGCCATTCAACTATTGACAGGAAACCTCAGCAGCAGCAGCAGCAGCAGCAGCAGCTTTGACTACACACACGTGTGAAAATGACATAACATTAACATGTACTTGTAGTATAATTTTTAATAATTTTTTACATCACACCTCTAAAATATACCACGTGTTTAAGGAATACGGATTGTGAATGCTGGAGTGTTCGGAGTCCGTATTCTTTAAACACGTGGTTTTTTTTTTGGGTGTGGCTAATTTAATAAAGAAGGTGTGGCTACTTTGTTGCAAGTTTTAAGAAAATAAAAGGACTTTACTGGTAAATATTTTCACTTTCTTACACTATACTGATTCTCTAGGGCCAGTATTAATACTCCTTATTAATGTCTACTGGCCTGAAGGTGAAGATTAAGAGCTGGAATGGAGTAGGATTCTGGAAATGGATGACAAACGACACTGACTGTGGAATATGCAGGCTACCTTTTGATGGCTGCTGTCCTGATTGCCGCATACCTGGAGATGACTGCCCCATTGGTACGTGTCCAATGAAGTAATAATAATATTTTAGATCTACTCTAAGAATGAATAACTTAGCAAAACTTGATAAATTCTACACTACAGAATTTATATATTTATTTACAGTATTTTGTCATTTTTGTGATATTATATTTTATTTTATTCTTTTCTCTAGTGAGTGGTCAGTGTAGACATCAGTTTCACATGCACTGTATTCTGAAGTGGCTGCAGACTCAACAAATGAAGCAGCAGTGCCCCATGTGTAGGAGAGACTGGCAATTCAGCGACTGATTGATTTATTAATAATTATTGCACCACTCAACCATTAAATCATTTATTATTTAATGTATTTTAGCTTTAAAAGAGTCCAGAAATGGTCTTCTGAATTTCAGGTTGCGCATTATGACATCATTGCATAATTTTTAAAATTACACGGATGTGGGGTGTGGCTGAAACTGACCAATGGGATTGCAGCCCACACATAATTTGGTTGTTTAAATAGAAAAGAGGCGGTTAAAAGCAAGAAACCTCATTTTATACTTTATCTCAAGCTCTCTCTGTGTGTTGCTGTCTGCCCCCACTGCTGGTCCCCTCCTCCTTTACATAAGAAGATGTGCACTAGCGCCTCTGCTAAAAACATATATTATTCTGATAAATATTACGATGACACTTATGAGTACAGGTAAGGCAGCCATTCCTCCTATTTGAGCTGATTTGTGTTGGTCTCCAGACACGTCATGCTGCCCAAGGACATTGCAAAACTTGTTCCAAGACAGAAGCTAATGACGGAAGGAGAGTGGAGAAGACTTGGGGTCCAGCAGTCTCAAGGCTGGGTCCATTACATGTTTCATAATCCAGGTACATGTAGCTATGAATTTAAAAGATTGATTGAAACCACCACTGTGTGTGATGGATTGGTTTGTTTATGTGTGTGGGCTGTAGTGTCACAATTGTGGCTGATATGAGTATCGTTATCATTATGAATTACGAAATTACTAAACATACGTTTGTATTATTGGCGTAATGTCGTTAGATTTAACCCTTTATCAACTACGATGTTTTCTCTCTTTTTTCTCAGAGCCCCATATTCTATTGTTTAGACGACCAATCACGGACCCCGAGGCGGCTAGGAGGGCCAGGGAGAGCGAGGCCACTGCTCAATGATGATCCAATTTGTTTTAAATTTAAAATCAAAAACTTGACACAAACAGTTCTCTATAACTATCCTTTAACTCTTCTCAATAATGTGATCGTTTGATTAGTGTTTGATGTAGTGTACTCTTTCCTTTCTCATTCTCTCTCTATGTAACATATAATTATTATAATAAATTACATTTTTGTTTCATAATAATAATATTAAGAATTATGTTACTTTTCTTCATTTAAATACACGAAAGTAGATTATCTACTCTTGATTGACATTAATTAATTAATTAATGACCATCCCTTGATTTTTATGAGAAATAAAATTATTATTATAATCAAAATGAAGATACATAATTATCATTTTAAAGTTAAGTCCTACGATGACCCCTGCTGTCCTTCGGGCATGCTACGGATAATATCAGAGTCTCCAGGATCAATAATAGATAGAGTGGAAACCCTGAAGTACTTTCCACAGGCTGTCCCTAGAGCGTTGTTATCTCCAGAGTAATAATGGACGCCGGTTTTAGCAAGCATAGCGTAATATTCAATCTCACTCTTCCTGCATTAAAAGAATTAAATGATTAATAATTAATAAACATTGCTACCTCAATGGAGGAGTGTTGTTGGCCAGAATTATCAGCTTAGCTTTACCCAATCTTAAGTTCTTGAGAGTTGAGCGATAGCCCAGTGTGTACTTACCACTCTTCATTACCAGGGCCAGTCTGGCATTGATACTCTCTATTGCTTTTTTCTAACAAACAATAATTACCCCTTGCCCTTCTACTCGGCCCTTTCTATGTACCTGTTTCGAAGAACTGACCATCTTTAATGGGTTTTATGTCACAGGGATTGAAGAAAGAGGAGGAGCACGTGGTCGATGCCTCTAATGCGCATGCGCAGTGGACTCTGCTAGTAAACAAGTGGCCCATTCTCTTTGTGGTGGATTGTATTTTTAGCTTAGACCAGCAATGGGACGTGAGTTGAAGTACTGTAGACTCCCAATATCAACTAGTAGTTGTATTTTATCTTTAAAATGCATTGAAATTACACACTGATTGTAACAAGATGGTGGTTTGAATATTTAACCCTTTTCTTTCTCCATTGTTTGTAGTTTTACCTCCAAATTACTCCATGTTCTCATCTTTGGCTCTTTCGGTTGTTACGATAGCTGTCATGCAGGTGCAAAATATTAACATATATTTATTGAGAATATTGTTGTATCTATCTCCCCCCTTTCTTCCTTACCCCCTCCCCCCTCTCTCTCTCTCAGATGTTTAAAGATCAAATTGCTGTTGAGGGTAATCTGATACGTTTAGCTATAGGAGGGTTTGCTGGTTCCTGGGTATTTGTGTTTTTAGTTACTGTGAGTCTCCAATGCATTAGTACTTACAACTTAATGTAATGTACCATAATTAACTTGCAATGTAGCTTGATTTTTATAACCAAGGCTATAGTCCATAATTTTTTTAAAATGGCTCCGAAATCACCCCAAATTTTTATTACATTTTCTGATACATATTGATGTCCTTATGCTGTGTAGAAAGTTTGAGCCAATTCCAACTTCAATTTTTTGAGTTACGGCCATTTTAAGAAAATGCCAAAATTCTGAAAAATACCCAAGGCTATAGCCCATGGTTTATTCCAAAAAATGGCTCTGAAATCACCCCAAATTTTTATTACATTTCCTGATACATATTGATGCTACTATTATTATAGGCTTTGGGTAATTTCTATTCATTAATGTTTCCCCGCAATCCTCAAGTTAACCTTTTCCCAGAGAGTAAGAAAAAATTAAAATAATAAAAAAATAATAATAATAATGTCCTCTCCCCTAGTTATAGTTATTCTGTTCATGGCCGTCATTGCTTCTGCTATGGTACACAGGATCTGTGCTACAACATGGTAATTATAGAAATGTTAATAATAATTCTTTTATTATTATATTTTCTTTTTTAGTTTAATCTTTTCTCTTGTTGCCCTGTATTATTTAAATAAAATAACTCAAACTTCATCTGGACCAACTGCTTCAGGATCTTATGTTGCTACCTCACAAGGAGTTGGGCGTGGCAAGCCCAACCCACAAACACCGAAATCTCAAAACAAAAAGCAAAAACGATGATTTAACAATAATAATAATAATTGAATGCCTAAAAATAGTTTGTTATTATTATTATTATTATTATCCATAATTAATTAATAAAATATCACATTCCTTCTCTTTTTGGTTTTTTAACTCTTTTCCTCAGTCGTCGTTCGGTGTAGCTAAATTTAGAATGAAGTAGACCTGTAGCTGAGATTGCGTCACCTAGTCCGACGGTTTTTAAAGGTTTCTTGCAGACATGTACCGGAATCATAAGAAAGTCCATAGCCCCATCTCTGTTCCAAGCTACATAGCCATTCTCTTCGGAATACTCAAACTTTCCTTTTAGGCTACTCTCTATCGAACTTAGCTGGAATTTCTCGGGTATCTGTAACTCAAAATCATCTTTATTTATTTCATCTTTCTGGCAAGCTTGTAGACTGGCTATCCTGGATCCTAGTCTAGTTGCTATCATGCCTTCTGTCCATAGAGAACCAGCCAACTCCCTCTTGGGTACTACGAGAATATGAAATGAAAGAGAATGGAAATGGACTCGAGTGAGTCTCGACTCTTTCTCATCTCCCCTGCCCTCCCTTAGATCAGTATAGGTTTTGAATAACCAGTAGAGGAGGTCTCCGGAATCAGGAATGGATGGTTTTGGTCCTATGGCGTCAAAATCAAAGTCTGCTTTCTTGGATTTTGCTAAAGATGTCAGTTCCTGTTCATTTAGTCCAAGAGAGTCAACATAAGGTAGTATGGTGTCAGCAAAAACTGGAAAGAACTCTAGGTTACCAACTGTAGCCATTTCTAAATGCACTGGAACATGCCTGGGTATTTTAGTGAGTACCTTCTGGACGTCACTCAATCTCTTACTCCAAGCATTCTTATCAGTTCCTTCCAGCATATGGAGTCCACTCAGTATCACGAGCGTTGGATCAAAACTCTTGAGCTCTTGAGCAAACACCTCCAGAGAACTGAGTTTAGAGTTAGCAGTGTCATGAGATATTATAACCCTGTTGGCACAGGTAGCTGCCACTCCTCCCATCTCCTCTCCCTTAGCATACTCCAGTATTATATGGACCTCCTCTTGTACACTAGGAGGACTCACTGTCTTTATCGTATCGTTGAGGTACTGACGGAGTTTGGAACCAACAGGAGCTGCTAGTAATATCTGATAGAGAGAGAGAGAGAGATGAGGGCTCACGTGGTGTGTGTATGTACTTTGCTGTTTGGTGATATCTCTGCTATCTTGTTAGCCATCAGTGCAGCATTACCACCAACAAACTCCTAAAAATAAAATCAGATCATTAAAATTGCAAATGCATTATTATCAATATTATTATTATTATTATTATTATCATTATTATTATACCTCATGCTTAAGTTTGCTTGCTGTATTTACGATCCTATCAAACAGAGCCTTGTCCTCAAAATATCTCTCAATACCAGAGCAGGTAGACATTGAATAGGAAACTATTTCAACCAGTTCCTCTACAGTTGATAATGACTGGTGATTAGCTGGAGGTCCGCTTTTAGCAGTGGAGTCTCCTTTCAAAGCTCGTAACAGCTCCACAGCAGATATGATATAATCAATATCAGCATTCAACCTGTAAAGGAGACACAATAAAACAATAAAGGAGATTGTTGCTTGTTTAGACTGACCCAATTGCAATCCTGTCATTCATGCTTCCTTCTTTCTCTTTGTTTTTTTGCTTCCTATTGAGCAGCACCGAGTGATACTCATCATAGTGATACCAGTACTGGTAGGCTATTGGTATCACTAGCAGGGCTAGACCAAAAAGAGTCGTTTTTGAAAACATTTTGCTGCTTTCCCACTAGCCACACCTCTTCATTAGCAATGAGCCACGCCCCCGGGAGTAGATTCAGCGGTCTAATCTACTGCGCATGCCCAGAACTCCACCATGAATAACTAATGAGCTGCCTAACTGTAGCTGTACTGTGTAGAAGTCTATGATCAAGTTCTCCATTTCGATCAGTAACGAAGGAATGCAGCAGCCACCAGAAGACCAGCAGCAACAGCCTCTAATTGGAGGGCAGGGTGGGGAGGGGCAGGAGAGAGAAGGACAAGAGATGCTAGGAATGCCTCAATATCAAGAAAGAGGTAGAGAGAGACTGCCTGCCGCCATGTTTTTGATCTTTATTGAAAGGTCCAATGAAGAGAGAGAGGGGCTGGAGGGGTAGAGGTGATGGCGGGCCTCCTAATAAACGCACACCTGGTGGACCAATGCCCAGCACATTAAGAGTACTACTGAGAAGCATTGTAAGCTAATGATCATGATAACTGATTATATAATAATCTTAATATTACCTTATGTAGGATGCTGGCGGGATAATTGGCAAGGTATTTTTGTTTATTTATTTATTTACTTGACGTTGTTGTTGTTTATCAGGGAGGAGAGAATATTAAAAGATTAAGGAAAAAGGTATATACATGACAAGAATCTTAATACAATAATCATATCACATGCTTTAAGATCCTATCTCCTATTTATGCCTTTACTCAATTCTGCATGTCAACTATTCATTAACCTATTCCTCCTCGCATTTATCACCTCTCCCCTGCCAGTATGATTGCCAAGTTCAACTCCCTGATTCCTCCGGTAGTCCCGAGCGGTAGGTCCCCACCCCTCCCCCTCCTCCTCCCTCCCTCCCTTTCCCCCTCCCCCCTTCATAGCTGTATATGTGTGTCTGGTATTAATATTGTTGTTATTATTATTATTTGTTTCATTTATTATTTTTCCTATCTCTTCCTCTTAGTGTCCTAACAGTTGTAGGTGAGCAGTTGAATTGCGTTGGAGTGTTCGGTGAAATATTGGAGAAAGTTAAAATCGTACGTTCGTATGTTGTTGATTATATTATAATCTTTCCCCTCCTCTCTCTCCCTGTCAGGAGGTAAGGAGACGTGATTCTCATTCTCCGTTAGAAGTTCAGATACTGATACCTCAACCTTTCATGGGTACTATCATCGGGACTGGAGGTACTAAGATAAAGGAATTAAGGAAGGTATGATCATATCATACAGCTGAGGAACAGAAGGAGACATCTGTTCATGAGGACTGATGCTGTTTATGTTTTGATTTGTTGTTTGTGTTGAATTAAAAATTGTTTATGTTTCTGCTTATGTTAATTTACATATGCATTCCTTTCTCTGTCACTTTTTCCTCTTTCCTCTCCCTCTCCCTCCCTCCCCCTCCCTCCAGAAATCCAGTGCTAATATTAAGATATTCACAGAACCCATGCCTTACTCCAATGAACGCTCCATCTCACTCTCAGGGAGTGAGGATCAGATAGTCGAGTGTGTCACGTTTTTCCTGCAAGAGATCGGACAAGTAAGAGCCAGACAGGTACACGTTATTAGTTTATTTATTTATTAATTTATTTCTTGTCTTGTAGCGTGAACCAAAGGAGCCTATTATCCTTTATGATCCTACCCTACCTCCTGATGCTTTCTATGAATATGGAGGAGGATCTGGTCCCTACCCTCCACATCAGGGACACTATGGAGGTGGTGGGGGTAGAAGAGGAGGAGGAGGAGGAGGAGGAAGGGGTGGAGGAAGAGGAGTAAGAATCATAATAATAATACTAATAATAATGTTCTTGTTGTTAATAGAATTATCGTGGTGGTGGTGGAGGTGGGGGTAGAGGAGGAGGAGGAGGAGGAAGGTATAGTGGTCCTCCTGGGGGCAGCCATTATTCTGGTGGAGGGGGCGGAGCCTCTAATTATTCATCTGATTCCGGCCCACCACCTGCCAATGGGTAAGATATTCATTGCTAATTAATTAATTGTTGTCGGTATATTTTATATAGTCCATCTGGTCAAGCTCCACCTCCTATTAAACAAGAGCCGGTTAGTTTATTATTATCATTATTATTATTATTTATTAATTACTTAATTACTTAATTAGGGTACAATGGTCCCTCCCTCAGCCCCTCCCCCTGTAGTGCAGTATCCTCACTCCAGTCCAGGCTCACAGGTATACATACTCTTCTAATGTTTTATCATTTAATTGTATCTCATTAGCCTGGGGGCGGAGTCCAGTCCTCGTACAATAATTATTATTCAAATACTTCATATAACCAGCCACCGCCTGTACCGCCCACGCACTCACAAGTAATTAATATTAATTAATTATTAATTAATTGATTATTAATAGTTACCTCCTCCATCTAATGCCCCTCAGAGTGGTGGTACTGGTTACACTCCGCCCATTGCCCCGCCCACTGGGTACCCGCCCATACAACAGTCTTATAGTTCTGGTGGGTCCTATCCTTCCGCCAGTCAATCTGGTTATTCGTCTCAAGGGGGCAGTTATGGGTCTGGTACACCTGGAAATTATCAGTCCTCCAGCTCCTACCAATATTCTTATTCATCCCAGACCCCCTCCCAGGGGGCCCCTTCTCAGCAGCCCCCCTCTAATTCCGGTTATTATTCCGGACAATATCACACGGGGCCTCCCCCTCAAGCCCCCTCAATGTTCCCCTCGGCTGCTGCCATGACAACGGGGTCTTATGGGGGCGGGGCAGGAGGTGGAGACCAGTCCAGCAAACAAGTTACTATACCTAATGAGGTGAGCTCATTAATATTCATGAATCATTAATATTCATCGATGTTAATTAATTAACTTGTAGTATGCTGAAGCTATTCTTGGTCCAGGTGGTTCCAATATTCAAAATATTCGGTAAAGAATTCATATTACATGTATTATTATTGTACAGCTGAAGATTATTTTAAAGAGTTATTTTAGAAAATTCACCATTAATTCTGATTTCTGAGCATCCTTAAACAAGTTGCCAATTGCAAATTTTTAATAAAAATCACCAAAATAATAATTATTTCCAGTTTTATTTCTATCATTTATAAATGTCACAGGTCCCAGTCTCATTGTAGTGTGACTATGGACAATCATTCTTCCGACGGATCCCAAAGAATCATCACCATTGTTGGATCTGCCTCTAATATTGCTATAGCTGAAGACATGATGAAAGAAAGGTACCAGCCATCTTGTTTTCTAACATTTACTCTCTCTCTCTCAGTGTTAGGAGCAAGCACAAGATTTAAAACACTATAATTTTGACTGAAACATTTTTGTTGGTGACCTTTATTATAGTCACTTTCTTCCCCTTTTTTTTGTTAACGTACCGTAATAGTCTTTATTGTGAAATAAACATTATGAAAAATTGAAATCACACACGTGGTGCCTTCTTTGAATGGTTTGTGGAGTGAGAGCCAACCGCCATGCCTAAAGTAAGTTTTTATCATCAAGGATCCTCTCTTTGCTGCCTTTTGCAACTAAATGGCGGCCACCAGCAGTCACCAAATCTTTCTTATTTTATTGTAGGCTAAGAATGTAAGGCTGAATATCTCCTATCCCGTCACTGGGTGTCAGAAGCTCATCGAGATTGATGATACTGCCAAAGTGTACGTTCATAAATGTATTGAAGTATCTCCATCAAACTGATCCTTTTCTTCCTTAGTCGTCCATTCTTTGAGAAGAGGATGGCACAGGAGGTCGAGGGAGATTGCCTAGGAGACGAATGGAAGGTAAAATCCACTTTTAATTACCTCTAATAATATTTTAAAACATTTAATTACCTTAATTAAGCCAATTACTTGTATATACTAATTTCTTGAAACTCTGAAGAACGTTGCTAATAATTATTAACTAATATTAGTACACACAGTTGTATTAGTATATAATATTTTACTCCCAGGGTTATGTGTTTCGTATAACCGGAGGTAACGACCGGGACGGGTTCCCAATGAAGCAAGGAGTCCTCACTAATACTCGTGTGAAGCTCCTCCTCTCTAAAGGTCACTCGAACTTTCGTGCGAGACGTAAAGGTCACCGGAAGAGGAAGTCTGTCCACGGGTGTATAGTGGACGATAGCTTAAGTGTGATCTGTTTAGCTATTGTCAAGAAAGGAGAGGGAGAAATACCAGGTGGGGGGTTTGGATTAAAGTACTCATTTGGTGGAATAAAATTTGGCAAATTGAAGTCCATTTATCAAAATTTTAATCTTTGGTTTATAATTCTAACCATCAAACCTCTTTAGAGTCAATTTGCCAAATTTTCTACCTGTCAGACTATTACTTGTAATTCATTGTCCCTTTGTTATTTCTTAAGGTTTAACTGATAACACTATCCCTCGTCGTCTTGGTCCGAAGAGAGTTGGTAAGATCCGCAAATTGTACAACCTTAGCAAGGAAGATGATGTCCGTCAGTACATCATCAGGCGTCCATTACCTCAGAAGGAAGGAAAGAAACAGCAGTACAAGGTTAGGAATATATGGACTTGAACTGAATATTGTACACTAGCTACTGGAAGCTTTTAACGTGCATGACTTGAATTTTTTTTGAATTTATGGTTGCTCAAAAATTGGATAAAAGTCCCTGTATTATAGTACAGTAACTTTGGCCACACTTCATCAAAAATGAAATCTATTTTGTCCAGCATGACATTGATTCCTGTATTAACATATGCAACATAGTCTATGTTTAGGGCTTAAAACGTAGACAGAGATTCATTCTTCATATTCTTAACCCTCCTCCTCCTGTAGGCTCCTAAGATCCAGCGATTGATTACTCCATTGAAACTCCAGAGGAAGAGACACAGAGCATCACTGAGGAGGAGGTGGGGGGAGAAGAGCAAGAGAGAGGCTGCTGATTACAAGAGGTTGTTGGCCCAGAGGGTCAAGGAACAGAGGGAGAGGCAGCAGATGGCTAAGAGAAGACTCAGCTCTAAGAGGTCATCAACATCCAGTACTTGAGACTAATGGTGCCGGGAAGAAACTGGCAATGAGAAATTATTTGATTTGTTTAAAATTATTAATAATAATAATAACGAGCCTCCTAATAATTATTAAAACAAAAGAGCATAAGAGATACTGTGCAGTTGAGGTTAATAAGTTGAATAAGTTCAATATAGATAGTAGGCGTGTTCATTATAATGGGCGTGGTTAGGGTGTGGCTTACTGATTTACAAACAAAATGGCTGCCAGGTCGTTGTGGCGATTACGTAAGTTGATTCTTCTTGTTGTTCTCCTAACGAGGTTCCTTTACTGTAGGATGTACGTCCCTTGCTTCTCCTTCTCTTTTCAGACCAGCAGCAACCAGGCAAGGGATTAACACACCTATTATTTATAATTAATTAACTTTGTTTATTTGTTATTGTTTACAGTATGGTTGTGTACCAGTCACGTGATGCCAGTACTGATGGTTCTTCAGTTGCTAAGAGGAGTCGGTTTGACAATGCAGCTGAATACGCATTCATGAAACTGGACGACATAGTGAACTGGGCCAGAGCGGTATGTACATGTACATGTACATGTACATGTACATGTTTTTGTTCGTAGGGTTCTCTGTGGCCGATGACGTTTGGTCTTGCTTGTTGTGCAGTTGAGATGATGCACGTGGCTTGTGCTCGCTATGATCTGGACAGATTCGGTGTCGTGTTTAGGGCAAGCCCTGTCAGTCTCTTATTAATAAAAATTAATTAATTAATTAATTATATTCTTTTAGCGTCAGTCAGATGTGATGATAGTCGCTGGCACTCTCACCAACAAAATGGCTCCTGCTTTAAGAAAGGTTTATGATCAGATGCCCGAGCCTAGATGGGTCATATCAATGGGAAGGTACTGATAATGAATCATGTTTTCACTACTCCCCCCCCCCTCCCTCCTATAGCTGTGCTAATGGTGGTGGTTATTATCATTATTCCTATGCCGTGGTGAGAGGGTGTGACAGGATCGTTCCAGTTGATATCTATGTCCCTGGCTGTCCACCCACGGCTGAGGCCTTGCTGTATGGGGTACTCCAACTACAGAAGAAGATAAAGAGGACCAGAGCTATGTCTATGTGGTACAGGAAATGAAAGAAAGAACACTTCATAATATATACACTCTCTCTCTCAGTATAATATTAATGATTGTTGATTGGTGCAGTTTCATAGCTATATATAGTCATTGTGTATTGTTGTATAATTGTAATTAATTTAATACAGACTAGCCTTGTAAACACGATTACGTAACCTCTATATAATGGACACTTTGAAAGTGTCTCTGTTATACAGAGGTGTCCTTTATGTGGAGGTTATTTTATACAGTAAGGAATGTAATTGGTACACTAGGTGCTGTCCGTTAAATGGAGGTGTACGCTATAGAGAGTGTCCATTAAGAGAGACTACACTGTTGTATTTCAAGATAACGTCCTCATAATATTGTAATTTAAATACAGAGAGGGAGAGAGAGAGTGTGACTAATTAGTCAATTTAAGTGAATGTTTGTCTGTCAATGTGACATGTCTGTAGTATTAGATTAGACTTACTGTCGGGGGTATACATGTGTATGTACATGTAATGTATAGTCTATGTATAGTATACACACCATATAGTAGCTGATGTGTGTGTGTGTGTGGGGAGGTAATTTACATTACAAATCTGTGACTATTACTATAGACTGTGTATTAATGTTTCTATATGTCAATGCATGTTTTATGCTAACGTTATTCATGATAATCTTTTTTAAATTAATTTTTTAAATCTAAAATGAACAATACAGAAACAAATATGTATAATGAACTAAAACATGACGTTAATAACTGATTGATTAATTCTGATTCGAGTTTGAATTCTGATATAAACTAGTTTTTCACATCCCATAGTAATAATAATAATAATAATAATAATAATAATAATAATAATAATATCGATTAGTTAGTCGTTTCTTGTCAATACGACTGCTAATATTATGATGACGATAATGATAAATAGTAAGACTCCGCCCCCAGCTACCAACAGTGCTATTAGTAAAGTATTGTTCTGCCTTTTTAGAACAACGGCCTGTGGGCATTAAATAGAATAATGGGCATTAAATAGAAGTTAATTCCTACTGTTGTCGTGTTGGCTGTTCCTTTTTCAGTTCGATGTGCAGCCTTCTCGGTGTGTAGCTCTGTAAGAGGACATTATCATTATGTACATTATTACTGATAGTGTATATATGGAGGAGATGTATGGTATTATTAGTGTATGTGTATCAGACTGACCTATTCTGTCTATTTGTGATCCTTGATCAACAATCATCACGTTGATGTGCTTTGAAATATCATGAAGATCACCAATGTCCCTGCAATTAGAGGAAGAGATACAGGAGCATATGAATCATTACTACTTCTCCTCCCTCCCCCCCCCCTCTCTCTCTCTCTTACTTTTCAAGTTCTCTTATTTCTGTTGCTTGTTGTTCTCTTATATTGAGTCCCGACTGGTCAACTTGCAGAGCTTCTTGAGCTAAAGTATCACCATCATTATTGACAGTTGGATCACCTAATGGAGAGAGAGAGAGGGAGGGAGGGAGAGAGAGGGGGGGAGGGAGGGAGTTGATTTGATGGTGTTGATTTTGTTTAAGTCTGTACGTGTTTCACAATTAATAGTTTGTTGGTGCTACACCTTATCAACACTGTTCACATATCAAATATGTCTCACTATATCCTCAAACTGTTGAGATCAACAACTCACTCTACACTCTAAATATCAATGTCAGTTTTTAGTGACAATTTCTGTTCAATAGAGACAGTGACCATATAATGGCTCCACTCAATCTGTTTGTCAGCTCTACAGCTGGAGGAGTAGCCAATAATTAAATATATTTAACGGTGATTTAGTTTATAGTAATCAACCAGTTTACACTAGCCGAGTATCATTAAATTTCTTGAGGTGAAAAAATTCCAAATATGCTGTACTAAATTAATAATACCTTTAATAGTACAAACAGTTTTGATAGTAGATACTTATAACGTAGAATACATGCAAGTACATGTAATCCAAGTACATATTAATAATTACTACCAGTTTTATATGTTTTCTGATAACACACACACACACTAGTTTTATATTAAACTAAGAAGCATAATTTAATATTCATGATTATTATTATTTTATTAGTTAGCACGTTTTAAAACAGGCCCAGACGTTCCAAGACTTCATTCTTATTATTTTTAAAAATTTTAGTGGGCGTACCAGTCCATGTGTGGGCTCATGTTATCATAACAGTTCAATATATGGTAATTTGTTAGTGTACTACAGCGCTGCTGCTAATAGCGCCACTTCACTTAATATCACTCCATTACTATACACTATACATGAACTGCCACTGTTGTTCATTTTAAGCTATTATTGGATATCAGTGACCAGTGCTGTGCAGTAAAGATATCAATGCATCATGAAACTTCATTTCAATAAACTTTCATTCATCAAACAGCATCTTCTATGCAGTAGTCAATAGAGCGTGATGAAGTTTTGAAATTTAAAACTTTACAATACATCTATTGGCTCCATGGCTACTGTATAAAAGGTGTTTTTCATGGCACAAGTTTTATAGTACTATGTATTATGATGATAGCCTTCTACATTCTCTCTTACTGGTGAAGGAATCTGCTTGTGATTCTTGTACTGATCCTTCTCCTTCCATTCCCTTCTTGTTCTCTTGTTCCTTTAATGACTCAAACTCTTTTCTTTGCTCTTGAAGCTGGTCCGTTAGTTTCTTAGTGACAATTTGGCTCTCACCTCTAGCACTATAAGAAATAATAGGTCATTGTTATGTATCATAGATCTAGAAATAAGTTCTGGGAGACTAGTCGAAACTAGGAGAGACCTAGGCTAAATATGAGAGACTAGAAGCTGAAAAATGGAGAATATGAGAGACCAAAAGTCTCCTAAACTCTCTCTAGATCTATAGCACTGGAGATACAGGAAGTTTGTGGTCATTGATAAAGATGAATATTGTTATATTGTCTCCTTTTCACTTGTTCTCTCTCTCTTCTCTCTTTCTTACACTTTCGCTTTTATTTCTTGATCAGCCTCTTCAATCTTTTCTTGTATGGCGGCCCTCAGTGAAGATAGCTCTTGGCTGGTCTTTGACCCTCCTCATAGTTGATCCAGTGAATGGACTGAGGAACGATAATTGCTTATATCTGCTCCTAATGAACTTAACAACTAAAAAAAGAGAAAGTCAGTGTCTTATTTCAAACGAACATTCGTTGAATAGTTAGACAGTAGCCCCGTCTGTGTAGTATATCAAGACACGCATGTCTGGGTTTACCTCTTCTGGATTCCCACGGGAAAAACTGCCTGATAGTGAAGTGTCCCCAAAGCCTCTTGTGCCTGTCACCCTAACCTCTGCCTTGTAGGCCTTCTCTGCGTCCAGACTAGCCATCCTTTGGCTCAATAGTCTTTTATACCAAGTTCTTCACAAAGAATTCCAACAACAACTCAGCCACTCCCACCATTTATATCTTTTTAATAATAATTTTATTGATTTTTCTGAAGCTTAAAAATGTGTTCTGTTGTGCAAACAATCGAAACAACAAACAACAAACTGAGATTATTTTTTATTAGAACTATGAATACATGTATCGCAAGTGAAAATCAAATGTGCCCGCTGTTTTTAACGCCCACTCAAATAAATTACGAGCCACGCCCTTCATAAACAGCAATCATGGAACTTTTAAAGATTGTTCTGTGCCTTCTCTTTCTTTCTCACTCCTCTCTCTCGTGTCCAAGTCACTGTGCCATTTGTTTGAACACCTTGTACATCTGCAATAAATGGAAGCCATCCTAGTAAGGGGAAATAGCAGCATGATGACTCATTTTCTGTTCTCATTGTTTATCATTTACTTTCACAGTGATCTCAGCTCTCATAGTGAAATTTCAGCTATTAATAGTAACGCATTCATCAATGCAGGCCAAATGGTCAACCTGTGAGTATACAGCACTAATGGTTGTATTTATGGCTGCATGGTCTGTTTTTTTTAGTGATATATCTACTAATGCCGTTAGTGTTATGGAGGACAATGCATTTAATGGTCTAATAAGTTTACAGTCTCTTAATTTATCACATAACTCATTGACTGCACTACCTGATGGTATATTCCAGCCATTGATCAGTCTACAGACACTGTGAGTACATGATGCATTGGGATTAATGGTTCCATATTATAATGAATCTATTTGTCACTCTTTTCAGGGACTTGAGTCATAATAGTATCAGTGAATTGAATCCAGCGGCCTTCACTGGACTAACTAACCTCACTAAACTGTAAGAGGGAGAATGGAGTGTGTTACAAAATTGAGCTCTCTTCTTAGATATTTAAACAGCAACCAGATATCTGGGCTTTCAGCTGATGCAACAAATGCCCTATTTAATAACCTTCCTTCCTTACAGAATATGTGAGTATTACACTGCATTATGCCATGTACCTATTGAGTATTTCTAGTACTTTGTCTGCAAACAATTGGCACTGTGACTGTAACCTGACTCAACTGCAAGCTGTCTTGTTGTCTTCCTCTTCTAAAGTGACTGATAGTTCAGCTATGGTTTGTCATTTACCATCTGATCTAAGCAATTCACTTATAACTGGTTTGAACTTTTACTCAAATCCTCTTTGTTTTACAAGTAAGAGGAGATGATGGAGGGGTGTGTGTCTTGTTGGTGTTATTGTATTTATTATAAGAGATATTCATTCTTATATGAATATGGTTGCTCTATTAAGATCAACTAGTATATGTTATTCATTGAAGTACATGAAGCAGTACCCCCAATAGCTTATAGCATTCCACAGATGCACTCACTCACATTCATTCCTGTATCTACATTTATGGGATTATTTTTCCCTCTACAGGTAGCCCCTCTCTCTCTCCTTCTCTCTTCCTCTCTCCCTCTTCATCTTTAATTCCATTCACTTCATCTGACACTCTCTTCTCTCCTTCTCCGACTATTTTTTCATCTTCGCTGGAAGTTCTTTCTCCTTCTCCCTCACTTGCTTCTTCATCCATTGTGATGTCTTCAGTCTTCTCTCCTTCTCTTATCTCTTCATCTCTCACTTCACCTTCTCCTTCTCTCATTTCTTCTAACGAACCTCCTCCTTTCTCATTCTTCTCTTCCTCTACCTTTTCATCTCCATCGTTAGCTTTATCACCTTCATCCTCCATCATTTCTTCATATTATTCTGAAACGATGTCATCTTCATCAACCAACAGTTTGTTACTATCATCAACTTCAGTAATAAATTCAACTAGTACAACAACTGTAGCTTCTTCTACTGTAGCAGCTTCTTCAACTGTAGCAGTCACTTCAACTCCAGTTCCATCAGTAGTAACTTTCACTACAACAAGTACTGACTATCAATCCTCAACTACAGTATCTCCTACTTCTACAATTGCTGTAACAACTTCATCAACAACCACACCATCAGTTACTAGTACTTCTGTATCACCTACCACTCCAGCAGTCTCTCCTACTCTAACTCCTCAGCCTCACTGCACTTCTAATGCTTCAGATACTAATGTAGGTCTGTTGGTTTGGCCTCCCACTGAAGGAGGGAAGTCAGTTAGCATACCCTGTCCTTATGGACCACCTAATGCCTTCAGTACAAGGCATTGTGTCCTTATACCAGCCACTGGTGATGCAGTGTGGGGTGCTCTTGAACTAGGATCATGTTTTACTGTTAATAACAGGCTCCAGTTACTATTGTTTGAAGTAAGAGGATTAAAACATCATTATTTATTTATTGTTTATTTTATTTAGACTGTTACTGATAGTAATGTGTTGTCTTTATCAGAGGAACTAGCTGATATACCATTTCATCATTTATCATCTGATGACATTGATAACTTTATCAACATTGCTTCAAGAGTATTTCAACACGGAAAAAACAATATCACTGTAAGAAATGCTAAGCTTATAGCTCATAGTTTTTCCAAAAAATGGCTCCAAAATTACCCCAAATTTTTATTACATTTTCTGATACATATTGATGTCCTTATGCTGTGTAGAAAGTTTGAGCCGATTCCGACTTCAATTTTTCACGTTACAGCCATTTTAAGAAAACATCAAAAATCTGAAAAATACCCAAGGCTATAGCCCATGGTTTTTTCCAAAAAATGGCTCCAAAATCACCCCAAATTTTTATTACATTTTCTGATACATATTGATGTCCTTATGCTGTGTAGAAAGTTTGAGCTGATTCCGACTTCAATTTTTCAAGTTACAGCCATTTTTAAAAAATGCCAAAAATCTGAAAAATACCCAAGGCTATAGCCCATGGTTTTCCAAAAAAAGGCTCCGAAATCACCCCTACTTTTTATTACATTTTCTGATACATATTGATTTAGTTATGCTATGTAGAAAGTTTGGGCCGATTTCGACTTCAACTTTTAAAATTATGGCCATTTTTACATTTTAAATATACTGAATTCACATTTATTAAGCAGTTACACATTGTTAGGTTGTGGTTAATGTACTGTCTGCCATTGATCTTCTTCTTGACTCTGACAACGTTCAAAATTTAATAAGTTCAGACAACATTGATAAGTAAGTCCTCTTCCTTGCAATAACTGTCCACCATACAGTATCCTTCTCTCTCTCTCTCTCCATTCAGTATTCATACTCTGATATCTACTGCATTATTTGGTGCAGTCAATGCTAATAACACTCAACAGATACTCCAGTTCTCAAGGTTACTGATCGGCGCTAAGTATATTCAAGAGTCTGAGGTCATAGCTGAAGTGGAAGTTCTTGGCGAGGGAAGACTCTCTTTTGTAGCAGCTGGTACTAATGTCACTGGAGAGATTATTATTGATATTAGGAGTAATGAACTAGGTGGACACACTGTACAGGTAATAATGATAATGACAATATTAATATATTATCAATCCATTCTCTCATTAGGTGACAGTATACAATGATACTACATTATTCTCAAGTAGTTGTCTCTCACTAGCTGCTAGCCACGGTCCAGTCTGTAGCGTTCAATTAGTGTCGCCTGTAGCTGTGACATCGGTCAACGGTTTACTTGGAGACGAGGGAATTAACATAACATTTGAGAATATAATGGTAAAGGGACAGGAGTAGAATATAGTGATGAATTCATCTTAATGTTATCTATTTTTAGACTGAGGGCAGTCCAATGCTGTACTGTGCAATGTGGAATGTTAGCAACATTGATGGTAATACTGATGATAATAAATGCATTATTATTATTAATATTTGTTATTAATTACAGGTGGTCAATGGGATTCCAGTGGTTGCGGTACTAATGTAATGTCAAGTCTGAACTCAGTTCAATGTAGTTGTACGGCTTCTGGTACAGTTGCAGTATTACAAGTAAGAACTTACATATCAGACTCATTCTTCATAATAATACTCACTGATGATAGTTGATATCAACTAATGGAACTAGTTCTCCTACTAATGGACAGTCCCCTTCTTCTCCTTTTGGGTATTATGCTTCTCTAGTATTCTACATTGCTGGAGGACTGAGTGCTCTACTTCACCTACCAATAATAATAGTCACTGCTAAAATATCATACAAGTAATGAGAGAGAGAAAGAAGCTGTTGATTTTTCTCTCTATTTTCTCTTTAGGTATGAAATAGTACGTAATATCCAGGCCTTGCTCCATCACAGTATAACACAAATGATTGTCTTCATAGCAATGATCATCTCATTTCAAAGGAATGAGATACAGCAGCTCTGCTTAGCTCTTGGCTCCTTCCTCCATTACATTATACTAGTGTCATACCTGTGGATGATATTCCGTGTTTTGATTACTTGTATGAGTCAGATTAGGTACAAGAAACTGTACGAAAGAGATTGCTTCATACTGCCATTCTTCTTCATAGCTTGGTGTAAGTGATTCATAATTTTAATGATGAATGTATTGGTATTTATTATTCAATTATCCATTATTTGTTTGTTTATTTATTTATTTATCTATTTGTTTGTTTATTTATTTAGCTTTACCAATACTACCTGTTGTCATATACGGTGTAATATCATTCACTAATTCTAGAGAGGAATTCAATGATATTCAAAAGTGAGTCAAAAAATTTAAAAATACAAAACTTACCTTGTTAACACCTTTTTAACTAACACCTTGTTAACACTTTTAAGTGTTAACAAGGAAAGTTGTAATTGTACAAAATTTTTAATTTAAAAATGTCTCTTCTTTTTTTCACTAGCTGCTGGATTGAGAGCTTTGCTTTTCCAAATTATTTCGTATATTTGTGTTTAGTCAGTAGTCTTCTCCTGGTCCTTCTATTACTCATTGCATTCCCACTCCTAGCCTGCAGTAGCTTTGTGATAAACACTTCGTCATATTACCAGCTCTTTGGTCTACTGGTTGAGACAGTGTTCTTCAGTGGTATGATAGCGATACACTTCATCACTGCACACCAGCAGTCAGAAGTGCTCATATCCCTCCTGTGTGGAATGATGCTACTTACTAGCGGGTACTACTTCATATCTAACGGTTTTGCAAGAAATAAAATTAGAAAAACTCTACTCTGTCAAGAAGACCGACCGTACTACAGTAAAGGACGTCCTTTCTCGGGGCAGGAGACTCCAACCACAACTCCAAGCTCAACGATGAGTGACGTAGCTAAGAAGAGAAGACAGCAGAGGCAGTATCCATATGCAGTGAGGATGAGTCATGAGATGAACATGGACTATCTGGGAGGCTATTATGGTTACCCTATTGAGCTCTGGAGTGAAGTGGGGGAGGGAAGGAGAGTGAGAAAGAAGACAGAGTTTTTCTCTGGTCACAGGAAAAGAGGATCCTCTGAAGTTTAAAACAATTAAATTAATGTACTGATAATTGTTTGTTATTGTGTGATTGTCCAGTTGATACACATGTATATACATTATACCTTATATTTATGACCACTTTTTATTTAAATTAATTTTATTATTGAAATTTTGTTAAACGTTGGCTGCTACAGTTGCAGAGGCTGAGATCAAATGCCACTAGGAGGCACTGGAGTCCAAAATAAAGCTATATGATAGGTTTCATTTTTGCAAACAAATAATAATAAAAATAAGTGATTATTGATGGCATATAAATTTGAAGAGAAAGTAATAATATGTCCACAGAATATTAGGAGGTTAGGCTACTATTCGCTTTTAATTTTGAGTCCAGAAGGGACCAGCTGTAGATCAGCCCCACTGGAGCAGAGGAGGTTCGAGGAGTCAATGGCTGACAGGTGCCTAATGAGGGGGGAGGAGCTGGAGGCGAGGTCTTTACGACCAACCTCAGACCTTCTTTGAATATCATAAATGACAAGTTGAGACTAGAAGAGGAAGATAAAGTGAAAGTGACGTTATTGTTTAATTTACTTGAAGTGCAATTGCTATGTGATGAGAATCTATCACTGTGACATCGTGAGTAAAAGAATCCTAAATAAAATAATAAAGAAAATATATAAATATAATAAATAAATATAATAAATAAATAAATAATAAAGGTGAAAATTATTGGACTATTTACATATTACAAAAGTCCTCTCAGATATCAGATATTACACACACGCACACTAACCATTTCTATTATATTGCAAAGATGTCCATCTTCTTTGTTCCATATTCTTATGCAGTTGTCCCGTAACAATCCAATTATATATTCACTGGAGGTACATATTCTGACCACACCTACTTGATGGTCTTCGTTCAAATCTGATTGGTCGTCTTGAGGAGGAAAAGGAAGCAGCTCTTGAAGGAGTCGTCCAGTGCTGGAGTTCCAGTGAAAGATTGAACCAAACGAACAACCGGACACAATATGGGAACCCTAGAAATAACTGGCAGTGATTTTGGAGCCAAAAAGTTAATATTAACTCAAAAAATTAAAGTCGGAATCAGCTCAAACTTGCTACACAGCATAAGGACATCAATATATATCAGAAAATGTAATAAAAATTTGGGGTGATTTTGGAGCCATTTTTTGGAAAAAACCATAGACTATAAGCCTTCGGTATTTTTCAGATTTTTGGCGTTTTCTTAAAATGGCCATAACTTTAAAAATTGAAGTCGGAATCAGCTCAAACTTTCTACACAGCATAAAGACATCAATATGTATCAGAAAATTTAATAAAAATTTGGGGCGATTTCAGAGCCATTTTTTGGAAAAAACCATGGACTATAGCCTTGGGTATTTTTCAGATTTTTGGCGTTTTCATAAAATGGCCGTAACCAGAAAAATTGAAGTTGGAATCAGCTCAAACTTTCTACACAGCATAAGGACATCAATATGTATCAGAAAATGTAATAAAAATTTGGGGTGATTTCGGAGCCATTTTTTGGAAAAAACCATAGACTATAAGCCTTCGGTATTTTTCAGATTTTTGGCGTTTTCTTAAAATGGCCGTAACCTGAAAAATTGAAGTTGGAATCAGCTCAAACTTTCTACACAGCATAAAGACATCAATATGTATCAGAAAATTTAATAAAAATTTGGGGCAATTTCGAAGCCATTTTTTGGAAAAAACCATGGGCTATAGCCTTGGGTATTTTTCAGATTTTTGGTGTTTTCATAAAATGGCTGTAACTTGAAAAATTGAAGTTGGAATCAGCTCAAACATGCTACACAGCATAAGGACATCAATATGTATCAGAAAATGTAATAAAAATGTGGGGTAATTTTGGAGCCATTTTTTGGAAAAAACCATGGACTATAGCCTTGGGTATTTTTCAGATTTTTATCTTTTTCATCAACTCACATCAATTAATATTAATGAGGTAATGTGTCCGGTATGAAATGTGAAGGATCTCAGACAAATGAAATCAATAATCCTGAAGACCTAATTAATTAATAATTAATAAAAACAATATCAATGAATATTAATTACTTTAATAACCGAATCATAACTGCCAGTGAAGACACAGTCCTTGTTGTAAGTGAGGATACTGATTGGTTTGGAGTGGGCGGAGATACTGTGCATCAGGTGACCATGGTGACCAATCAAATGCAAGGAACCATCCAAATGACCTGATATAATACTAAAAATATTAATATTAAATAATTATAAATCAATATTTATTTATTTTATTTTACCCAATTGAATGTAGTCTTAGCACTGTCACTCCGACTTGCTTAGGAACTATGAAAAACTTTAGGGAACCAGTGAGAGAATTCCAAACCTGTATATAACACATATTTAATACAATAATACAGCGAACATAATGTAAATTTAACACAATACTAACACTAACTTAACACAATCTTAATGCAATCTTAATGCTATTTTTAACTCACCTCAATCTGTCCATTACCACACCCGACAGCAGCTGTACCATTCAAAGCATCAAGACACCAAATGGGCGGAGTCAAGGAGGAGAGCCGGTCGCTAAACTCCTCTCCCTTCTCTTCGCTATTATACTCAAGAGCAAGATTAGATGTGTACGGAGAGAACAGACTAAAGTGGGGCTTGAACTGGAAACAGCCACACCCACTATTATCGGCAGGAGGGTGGAGCGGAGACAGAGGAGCAGTAAGAGCTGTCTCATAAGAGAGTTCTGACGGATTCTCTGACAATAACGAGATACTCTCCACAGACCACTGGGAACCGAAACTAACGGAGGAATCCATAGAAGGTCTTTGGAGAGAAGGTTGAAGAGAATAATCCACAGAATGGGATCTAGTGTGACGTCCTTTATTAGAACTAGTACTGGTATTATTATTATTAGTAGTAGTAGTAATGGGGGCGGGGCTTACTGTGGGCGTGTTTGACTGATTACTACTGGGAAAGGATTGCAATGCAGAGGAAGAGGAGGTTGTGGTAGGTGTGGTCAGTGTAACGGAGGAGTCCGGAATTAAAGTGGGTGGGGCTATGGAAGTAGGCGTGGCAACTGAAGGGTGTTCTGGAATGCTCTCAACGTTTGGGAAAGAACTCAGAAGGTTTTCTCGTTTGTCCGGACTCTTCTTTAAAATGGTCGGCATAGACAACCTCTTCAATAAGAAACTGGGCAGTATCCTTTGGGGAATGGACCCAACACTGGTGGGGAGGAAGGAGGAGGAGACAGGAGGGACGGGGGGAGAGGGTGTGGTCAATACATGAGTGGGCGTGGGGAGAGGTGATATGGGTGGAGTCACTGCTGCTGGTTTAGGAGTTGAAGTTGGTAGAGGATCTCTGGAGCCAGTGGTGCTGTTGCTAGGAGACGAGACCACAGGAGGGTCCTCACAACCCACGATGAACCGAGACATCATGTCCCTCTGTCTCTGGAGGATCTGATCAATGACCTCCCTAGAGGAGGAGAGAAAGGGTTAAATAATAATGTACATGTACAGTATATGTAAAATGTACTATCAAATTTGGATTTCTTACAACTTTTAAAAGTTGCTAAAAAATCGGGTCAGAAACCAAAGGCTATAGCCTCTGATCATTGGTCAAATTTTGCCGAAAATGAAAAGGAGAGTAAACAATTTCATTACATTTTTCTGATACATGTATTAATTTCCTCTACACAGCTGCTGCTGCTGCTGCTGCACTTACTTCCTATCAATCATGAGGAGCTTCTGCCTACAGCCAATGTCCCAGACATGAAGAACATTATCAATAGTTACTGACACAATCTGACCATTGTCAATACTGACACACTCTATATCCTAAACAAACAAACAAATAAACAAACAAACAAACAAACAAATAAATAAATAATTTTTATGTCCTTACTTGTCCGTTCCCTTGTAGTCTAGTGACCCTGACCAGCTGCTGATTGACGGCATTATTACCTGGTTCTCCTTTTCTCTCTCTCATAGCCATTATCCACAAATAGAAGAGATACACTGCCACTAGTAGACTAGTCATCAGTAACATGATCCCTCTCACCACGTTAGGTATTGATAGTAATGTCAATAAAGAATTGAGCAGTGACTGAGTGAGGCTTGATCTGGTCTCCAGACTACGAGTGAATAATGATTGGGGGGTGTAACCTAATCTGAAGTTTAGCATCATCGGAGGGAGGAGTGTTATAAACCTATTAATAATAATAATAATAATAATAATAATAATAATAAATATATAATGTATACAGTATAGCCTCTCTTAATGGACACTCTCTATAGCGTACACCTCCATTTAACGGACAGCACCTAGTGTACCAATTACATTCCTTACTGTATAAAATAACCTCCACATAAAGGACACCTCTGTATAACAGAGACACAGTGTCGATTATATAGAGGCTAGTCTGTATTACATTATTAAATGCTGTTACTTTTCTTTCAGTGATATATTGTAATACTCCAGTAGGTGTGGCCAGTGTGTCGTCACCATTGTCCTCCAGCAGGTGGTATCCTCTCCACACTGAAGCTCAAACCCGTCCTCCATTGTCCTGTACACGATGGTCCTATCCATTAGACCATGGTCGTACCAGCTGGCAATGTAACTCGTCAAATCACTGTCACTCACACCTATCAAATAATGATTTTAATTAAGGAGTGTGGGTGGAGTTATCAATCAACACACTCCACAATAATATGTTACAGCATAATAATGATGATACACAGTAATTGGGTATAAAGTACATGTATAGTGGATAGTGCCAATCATTATTCGTTTTATTTTAAACTTTTAATAAATTTTTTAATGTAGGGCTTTGCAACCCT